TTACGTTATATAAAAAAAATGTTACCTAAATGCTTTGTTTTACTTTGCTTAACTGTTGCTGCAAAATTTAGACTTCATATGAAGTACTCTAATCTAAATTTGATTAAGCACCATAAAACGGTTCATTTGAGTATATCTTAAAACATAGACACATAGGTACTGGCGCGAACATTATTTGGCTTTTAGATAATATTTTTCACATAATTTAAAAATCGAAAATAAATTGAAAAATAATTCGACTCTGGCAGGACTTGAACCGGCATCGTCAGCGTTCCGTGCTGTTGCTTTACACATATTTCTCATTTACACATACTTTTTCGGTATTTTGAAATGTTTCCACACGACGGAATATCTCAAAGATGAATAATTTCCCCGTTTTTTTCTCCCATTTCCATTTGTTTCTTCGCCCCTATAGATTGCAGCATGGTGTATAGTGTATTATAACTTAAGCCTATTAAGCCTTCCTGCATAAATGGCCCAACCAACACAACATTTTTAGAATTATATATAGATATAGTTTCTGAGATTCGCGCATTTAAACAAACTCTTCAGTTTAACAATATTAGCATAAATTATAATCAAATTTAAGACAAATGTATGCTCTTAATAGACAATTGCTATGCAAATATTACTGAACCTCAATATAAACGCACCCCTTGCAAAATTTTCAACCACTCGATAGTTCTAAAAACATTACACCAACAGTTTACAAGTGCCATACTCATAAATGTAATAAATTACACGTCGATGCCAAGGCCAACTTGATTTATTGATATTTTTGGCTTATGATTATTTCTCCTAAATTATTTTTTATGACAGAGGACAGACGTACTTTCAAAGACCATGTTTCAGAATAAAATATAAAATAATTTTAGAAATACGTGGACTCGGTAGGAATCCCATTAAACCGACGAGCCCGACGACAGGAAGCAGTAGCTAAGAGTACGATATCCATAAATTGATCCACATTTCTAGGTTAACCATAAGTGCTATCAATAAGCTAAAGCAGAGTAGTTTGAACGCAGAGAAGAGTTAAGTGGTACATTAATGAGGCGTACACAATCAGAAATTACATCTCCATAGCTCCCGAGCCCGTTTGTACGGACCGTCAACAGTAACTTATGCCTCACAGTAATGCTCTAGGAAATCGCTTTTAAAACCTCTCGAGTACTTTCTACTTAATGGAATGAGCTCGTTGTTCTAATAGTAGCAATGTATATTCAATAATAAACAACAACGGTGCAACACTTTTCCAAAAAAATCAAAGCCAAAAAAGGTTCTAGACATATGCTAGACGTATCTTCAAGTTCTATCTAAACTTCGCGCTTGTATCCCCTGTATTATAAAAAAACAGTATAACTTTGTTTGATAAATGCGCAGTGACATTGCAACGTAATACATGAAAAGTTTTTAAACACCCAGCACAATGGAACTGATTGCAATAATATTTTACCAAGAAGAAACGAATGGCCATTGTGCCTGAGCAAGACAGATAAATACGCTGTATCAAATTCGCGTTACCGATAAATAATACATATTTTAGTAGGCTTTGGCATTAAAAAATAACCAAGTTTAAGGACCAAAATACATATATTAACTGGGAATGGGATAAACGTCGCATACGTTTAAATCTAATTCTGTATAAGAAAATGATCTGCTTTTTACGTTTTTTATCTCTAGATATGTGTGTTTGGTGCAGACGGAACTTAGTGTAACATGAGTGATTGAAAATTATTAATAATTCTTACACAAATAATAGTACACATTCATTTTAGTTTACATTTTCAAATTTTCTTTAACGCATTTTTATTTTATTATTTATTGAAAATTATGTTTTTTGTTATTAGGCCAATTTGCCTCCAGCTGACTCATGTAACAACCCACTAGCGTTCAGATTTTCCAGACGAAGACTCGCTATGTTAATGTTAAAAAAAAATATAACTATAATTTTCAAAAATATTGAACTTGATGAAAATTTAGCTAACGACCCATATTAGCCATACATTGGTGCTAATCGAGCAACAAATCCCTCAATAAATCTAGTCCGTCTTACTCTAGAACGTATTTAAGGAATAAATAACGTTTATTCCAGGTAAACCCAAACGTTTCATCTTTAGATATTCTCAAAGACATATTGATGTTTGTGCGTATAAAGTATTTTGTTTGATGTTAAGTTGAATTGAAGTAAAGATGGACTGTTGGACATAACAGATGGACAGGTTAAGGGCGGTCTTCTGTCAAGTTGACAGCTTTATAATTCCACAATCCACGCAATGTCTAGACAATAAGCACGTGACGAAAATAAGATTAGCTTGATTTAAAATTACATTGATATTTTTGCGAAAATATTCAACTGATAATGTACTTAAAAAAAATATTACCACACATTATTATTTTCATACGTTAACTTTATATTCATCTACCTTGTCAATTTGTTGAGCGGCGATACGAGACGCTGTTGTCTTGAATTGAAGCACCGCCCGGACCATTTTTATATTCTGAAATAGATTTTTAATTTATATTTATTAAATTAATAATAAATACAAGTATTGCGTTTTACTTAATTAAGTTTAAATTAAAAATATTCATCGTAAATATCAAGTATAACTAATTATTATTATTTTTTATATATATTGTTTTCGTTAATTTATTTTCTTCGGAATGCATTAACAGCGTTTAAGCTATAGACAACCTATTTCTATAACAATAGCGATATAATTAAGCTGAAGAAATTTGTTTGTTTACCGTGACACTGTTTGTATTTATTAAAAGATTTAGTCAGGAGCGATTGCAAGAGCGATAGAACGCGACCGTCATAGGTAATTGCTTAAATTTATAATGGTGCAAGGAGGTTTGCAAAAACAAATTTGGATGGCCAAGATAACTATTCTACGCGGACAAAGTCGCTGGCACAGCTAGTAATTAAAAAAAGCCGTCATAAGTAAGATTTGAAAGCGGACAGTTGCACAGATGTTTACCATTCACAAAGCGAATATGCAAAACAACATAACGATGCATGAGATTTTTCGCAAAACTTATGCCATTGTGCATTTAAAAAATCAAGTATGCTCGTTGATGGTGACAAACGAGGTGACATGGCGTACGCATATTGAATATTAATAAATCGGCTCAACCCTTTTTTTTAACACAAGCTCAGATCACTGACTTTTCTCGCGCATGTACAATGTAATACCATAAATCGCAAAAGAGTAGTAAGAATATTATATCTTAATTAATCCACCCTAAAACAACATAACATTGAAATATTAACAGAACATTTCGCAGGGCAACGCGTTTTTTAGTAATATTATTTGTATAATATTGAAACAAACACATTATTCTTTTATTTCCAACTAGCTGTGCCCGCGACTTAGTCCGGGTGGAATAGTGACTTGGGGTATCAACCCTTTTTTCGCCTTTTTTAAAAAGTAGCCTATGTCCTTTCTCAGGCTCTAAAACATCTGTGTACCAAATTGCATTTAAATCAGTTTCGGAGATAAAGCTGGACAGACAGACAGAAAGACAGAGTTACTTTCGCATTTATAATAATAGTATAGAAGTATAGATTAATAACACGAAGCAATGCACGGAAAGAAATGTTTAAATAAACATTTGAAAACGGTTTTTACTTTAAATTCGGTACACAAAAAGATGGCGCCAAGTTGCTGATGGGAACGGAGATCTCAACTGTTTTTAAGAGTTTGTGTGTGTTTAAACTTTCAACGAAGTGTTTAAATGACAGTCGCCGATGTGGGAAATTAATAAAATAACAAATTTTTATTACCGAAATGGCGTGGTCGACAGGTGTTACTACTACCTATATACCCATTACAATTTTAAAGTATGCGAACGAGTTATTTTTGGTATACTTACATTATAATCATTCTGGGTGGATATAGTTCTATAACTTCCATTAAAAATGTTTAAAGTGGAAAAGTAGTAAATGTCACTAATGTTATTTAAATTCTTCAAGAACAGTTTTATCACATGAATTGTTTTAAACATGATCAGCATCGTTTTTTTAGTAAACACACACGTTTTACTATTTATTTAACGGAAAAGCAAAATATATTGACATGGTCGATATAAGAAAATTGTATGTGTATAAATATAAGAAAATTGACAAAAATAAAATGATATCCCGCCTGTATTTACACCATTTTCACGCAAAATAATAATAATTATAGGTATTTTCCCACTCAAGTCTATGTCATATGTCACAGGCATAGATTCTCAAAGATTGCAGATACCTAATAATCGAATGTCTTCATTAATACAGATGTCGAAAGAATAGTTGTAAAGTCTATTATAGTATTTTACCGTTTCTTTTTTATATACATACTTTTCTTTACATGACAGGGGAAAACATTACATTTAATCAGAATCACGAAAAATATTAAAGTTCTTCTATTTGAACCAAGCGATAATAGGTTCTCCTTCTCAGACGGAGTATACTGGCGTTTTACTAAGAATGAAACATCAGTAACGGATAGTAACGGTATGAGCCATTATGTATGAGCATTCAAAATATAAATCTTATCGACAAGTAATTAGGCGTATAACACACTTGCTATGTAAACACACCGGTATTTTAGGAAAGCTATAAATCGGCCAGTCAACTGAAAAGTATTGCCTATTCACATAGTAATGCACTAAGAAACTTCTTGCATTAACGTTTCGTTAGTTACATAGAATTTGACAACACTGCTAGCGACATCTTGTTAACAGTTACCGAATTTGAACAAGTTCAAAAAGGAAACTAGTAATTTAGTGTGAGGGCCGAAGTTTGTTCCATTACTTATTTCATACCTTAAAAACAAAAAAAAAGATTACAACAATATATTTTAATACTAAGTCTATAATAATTCATGAAAATACTCTGAACGCATCAGATTTTCACAATCTTACGTCAATGTCAAACTTTCAATCGAAGTGTTCAATTGTCAAATCTTTTCTTCCTTTTGTTGACGTGCTGTGAAAACAACAACTGCACGTGGAAAATGCGTATTGAAACTTGCTATTTTTGCTCTTCCAGGATTTATCCTGGTCATGGCATTCAGTTCGTAAGGAATGATTGTAAGGTAAGAACAATATCAAGAAAATAATAGTCTAATTTTACCTCCAATCTTACCAAATATCCAACGTTCTTGGTTAGATTTTCAGGTTTTGTCGATCAAAATGTCATGCAGCATTTAAAAAGAAGAAGAACCCACGTAAAACTAAGTGGACCAAAGCTTTCCGCAAAACAGCAGGAAAGGAATTGGCTATCGATCCTTCATTTGAGTTTGAAAAGCGTCGTCATGCACCCGTTAAGTACAACAGAGAATTATGGACAAAGACCATCGAAGCGATGAAAAAGGTTGAAGAAATACGTCAAAGGCGTTCTAATAACTACATTATGCAAAGGTTAAGAAAGGGAAGAGAAGTGGAGTGGCAGAGAGATGTTCGAGAAGTACAGAGAGACATATCACTCATAAGGTCAGCATTTATTATTTTTTACAATGCATTCATAGATCATCATTATTAATATTTTATCACTGAGTATGATGCATACCTTTTACTCTCATCTTGTCAAAATGTCAGTAGAATTATGATATAGTAAGAAGAAATCGATTACTTTAAGGGTGATATTTATATAAACTAAGATCCATGCATTCCTATGGTAAAATAATAAGGTTTTTAGGAGGTGAAATAAAACATGTGTGTTAAAATTATTATTAAAGACTATATTCTCATAAGCTAATGTACATTTTAAAATCTTGTTATTCTGTTTTAGGTCACCTGCAGCTGGCTTAAAACAGCGACAAGCTCAAGAAGAAGCTGAAATGGAAGTTGAACCTGAAACAATTGAAGTAATTGATTCGAAGGGTAGAAAGCAAGTTATTGAAGCACCTGTTGTTGTTCCTGCTACTGGAGAGATGATTGTGGATGGCGGTGATGTTGAATTATAGAAGCCAGTTAAATTTTTATCAGATAGTACACTTACGTATTGTTATTTCTTAATGTGAAATGCAATAGTGCAACAAAATGATTTCTTCTGGAACTAGGTTTTTATTTCTTTAAAAGCAAATTTGAATAACCTGTGTAATAATACATAATATGCTGATTGTATTTGTTTTATTTTGTTGCTGTACCTTTTAAAGAGAGCACTTTTAACTGTTTAAAACACTAAATGTAGTAACTTTTTTAGCCACAGCTGATGTTGAGAACTTTGTAGTTGCATTCACAGTGGGGATATCCAGTTCCATTAGATTACATATTTAAAATTTTAGTGTTTTGGTGAAATTGGGTCATTCTAAGTTCTAATCACAGTAAAACATGTCATGTATTGCATCATTATAAATTATTGATTTCCGCTAGTAAGGCCCTAATCCTCTTAGGTTTCCATTCAGGGGTTGTAAACATGTTTTGAATTAATTGCATTGATGCATAATTTATTGTTTCTAAATTCTATTATGTAAGTAAAACACATTTAAATTGGAAAAGTGTAAAGTATCAAGTAGAATTTGGTATGAAAGATGTATATTTCTTTTTCTTTGTTTGAGTTAGGGATTAAATATAAGTATATATTATTATTATCTAGAGAACAGAAATGCCAAACACTGACAAAGTTATATGTTAGAAATAAATTTAAGCCAAGGCAAAGGTTTTTCACCCCTGCCTAATCCAATTAGTGCAAAGCCACTGTCTGAATTAAGAAATGTGCACAGCTACACGATTCTAACTAAAACTGGAAAGCGGGCACCATGTCTTTTCTTTCGTATGTTTTTGCTTTAATTTTTGCGTGCATTTCTTATGTCGTATACCAGAAGTTCGTGAATACAAATTTAAGTATTATAAAAAAGGCTGAACGGCGCTACGATTATATTGTTGGTAAGTATTTCTATAGCGAATATTTAGTGCCTGATATAATAACCAAACCCGTTAAAAAACCTAGCAAAAAATGGTATAGATTTTTTTTCCTTACTTTTTCAAATATATTGTAGTCTATCACTATTATTCTAGCATCACTCCATAAAACAAGCAGAGAGCCATTGACTTTTTAAAAAAAATAACGTTTATAAAATACAACCAATTGATGAACTACAATTTATTCTATTATACCCATAAAGTCCGTTATGTCCCATAAACTTAATAAAAGGCTAAATATATCTATAATATTAAATATGTACAGTTGGCGCTGGCACAGCGGGATGTGTAATTGCTTCGAGGCTCTCGGAAGACCCAAACGTGAAAGTGTTACTCGTTGAGGCCGGAGGTCATATGGGGTACTTCACCAAAATCCCACTGACTGCAACTGCGGCGCAACACGGCCCTAATGACTGGTCGTTTAATGCTAAGCCACAGAAATATTCCTCTTTTGGCATGTGGAATCAGGTAAACGTGAAATCCGCCTCTCTACGTTGCGCAGACATATTTTTGTATCCGGTGTAAGAAACGATTTTATTTACACGTTAGTTGATCAGATCTTGTTACCAGACCAAAGGTACCTAAATATTGTTTCCCGGGGCTTCGATCTCAGAACCTGTCGCGATGTACGCAATTTCAGGTAACCAGTTTAATTACATCGCCATGCAGTATACTATTACCAGATAACTTACCTAAACAGTTATTCAAGAGCTTTCCAATTATTCTCATTTATATAATTATCGCCTGCTTATCTCAGTAATTAAACACGATTGTTTCGGCCGGGCTGTAAACAGAAATTCCTTCAATTGCCTATAAATATAATAAAGTCGTTTAGATTATTTCCATATTATATTTTGTTTACCTACAAAAATTATTTTCCAGACACCCCTAATACCTCGCGGAAGAGGCCTCGGTGGTTCTGGACAAATAAACTTCCTTCTTCACGGTTTTGGCCTACCAGAAGACTACAATAGGTACAAAAGATGTAACAGATACAAAACACTCTCAGTTTTTCAGGTGTTATTAATCTTTTGAAATGTATCCAGGTGGTCGCAGTTAGGTTTCCGTGGCTGGACGTTTGATGACTTGAAACCTTATTTTCTAAAGGCGTTTGGTACCACAGAAAGTGAGTTTGAGTCGCCTTGTATAGCCGGAGGTTATTGTCATCAATCTAAAGTAAGTATTTATTTGTGTTTCTTTTAATTATTGTATATTTTAGAACTATCTAATTCGACCATTATGATATCTATAAAATATTTTACCATCGTCACTTTCACACGTACCAGATATCCCTGTAATATAAGTCCAGTTTGTCACTGTTTAATATATCCAAAAAAGTCATTATTGTCTAATAAAATTCACATAGGTATAAAACAAACATTTCCAAAATACCTAATAAAAAGTTTGTGTAAGGGCAGTCTTGTTCGTTCCTTCGACAAGTGCAGGAGACGGGCTCGCTAGTCCAATGCTAGCAATAGGTATATAACTATGCATCAATGAGTACTCCTAAAGATGAAGATGGAAAATAACCAGAACCAGTGAAATATCTAAATTCCGCCCAGGTCCAAGAGCCAGTATCCAACGAGGGAAATAATGGGATCTCTATTCGCTTTTTGATTGCATTCTGTGGTTGGCAAAAGGCTAAAGCCAATATAGTTAAATAATTCATCCATCAAGCCAGAATTGTCTCTTTATAACAACACTCTCTTTTTACGTACTTCCAGATACCAATGCACCTGAAGCTAATAGATGATAACAACGAACTGATGAACGTATTTAGACGTGCGTCATCTCGCCTGGCTGACCGGTATACCCTAATCCGTCGATCCACAGCACCGGTTCTATTAGGTCGACGGCATCAGGCCTACGACGCCTATCTAAAACCAGCACTCAACAGACGGAATCTGCACGTGATGTTGAAAACCCAGGCTGTTTCAGTGAGTAGAATTTAGCTGACATAGCCATGCACGTATCGAAGTAAACAAAAACTTTAAACACTATCCGACGATTGGAATGCGTTTTAATCAGTTAAAGTTCATTAATTTTAATGTTTACTACATCTGTTAACTACAAATATAACTTCAAAGATTATGTTATACTAGCTGTGTCAGCCATATCGTCCGCGCCGAATAGTTATTTTTTTAGCAAAATTTGTTTTTACATTTTTCACTGTTTTTACGCTCCTATTAGTCACAGCGCAATGTTTAATAGCCTTTAACATCCCTCTAAAAATTTTATAACCAACAAAAATTATTTATCAATTCGTACCAGTAGTTCCTAAGATTAGCGCATTCAAACAAACAAATTCTTCAAGTTTATATATACGTATTGATTTGAAGACTCACAACGAGCCATTCAAATCTACTCTGTTTTTCTTATATATATATTCGAAGACCCCTGAGCCCCTGATCCTAAAGTTATTTTAAAATTGCTAAATGGGAGTGTCAAGAAACCTTACAATTAAATCGAGTTAAAATTACAGGTGAGGTTCGACGACAAAGTGGCGTCGTCGCTCTACGTGCTAGAAGATCATAAATATCTAAACAATATATTTGCGGATAAAGAAATCATTCTGTGCGCAGGCGCTATAAAGACACCGCAAATATTGATGTTGTCTGGTATTGGATCTAGGGATTTAATGAAAAGGTAAGTATTATTTATACTTATTGACCGCCTCTGTACCTAAATGGTTATGTTGCCTTTGTTTTAAGTGCGATAGGTCTCACTTTCGAAACATTCTATTATTTTCGGTCGGACAGAGCACAGAAGTCTGACCAACTACTTGCCCGTAAATAAAAAACCAATCGGTGAACGGACACAGAAATGTATTCGCCCCATGGCCCACGAGGGAAATGGGATTTCACTTTTTTGCTTTTGATATTTTAAAAGTATAAATATGTAATAACTCTGTTTTTTATAATGACATTTTCAAAATCCTACTTTGAGTTTTGTGTTAAGAATACACATTACAGTTTCCACAGGTATAAAATTATTCCTTTTCATTTCATAAGACTATTTTAAGAGTAGGTTAGTGATTCAAAACGATTACAGCATGTTCCTTCGATAAAACATTATTGAAATTTCCAGATTAAAAATAATGCCAGTGGTAGAAAATAATCAAGTGGGCAGAAACTTACACGACCACCTAAACGTACCACTCTATGTTAGCATCAAGAACCCGATAAGCGTCACGCTTGCTAAAGTCTTTAGTTTCTTCACCGCTTGGGACTATTATTGGAAAGGGGAAGGTACTAATTATTTAATTATTACTTATATTTATTATTATCTCTATAGTTTTAGTTTTTTTTGTCAATACAAAACTACGTGATTAAAAAGTTTAAAGTAAACGGTTTAAAATATGAAATATATTACTTTACTAATTTTAAACTCAACGTTTCGGAATCTTTGCAGCAGCCAACGTTACCGTGTTAGCTGTGGACTAAAGATAGAGAGGTCCCTAATATTAACAATATTTCGAGTTTTCAATTGTTAAAAGCGTTTTATAACGACCTAGTTTCGCCAATCGTATTACTATTGTGCATGTGAATGACGTGCTATGTGAATGATTTCGAATATCCTGAGGATAAAAGTTAATTAACCTTAAACTTCTTCTTCTTCTTTCTCTTCTTCTCCAGGTTACCTATCCTTTCCACCAGTAGCAGGGATAGAATACAAGAATATGTCTGCACTAATGTTGTTCGCTATGGGCTCCACCAGCGAACGATTACTTCGGGACCTCTCAAACTATCGACCACAGGTAAAAACGAAACAGAAAGACATGATAACTATAATCTATCTCCACATGAGTAGTCAACTTTATTATGATTTTCGTTTTCTTAGATTTTCCTACGTCGAATAGAATTACTATAATAATCTTTAAGATAAAACTCAATTCAAACTTCATTGGTGGTCTTAGCTGTTATTGGGTCTTTTTCGACCCGTATGAGATTAAAACATTTCTTTACCCAAGAAATAAATTTTCACGCGTATACACAATAATACATACGAGTAGGTAAGAATTCACTATTGTAATTGGGTACTTTAATAGTAACTAATACAATTAATGCAAAATGTAACAGGAAATTAATTGACTGTATGCTAAGCCATTAAGACATACAAGAAAGGAATAAATAATGTAGTAACTTTTCCTTTACAGGTGTTTCGCGATACCTTCCCGTTCCACAACGACACGAGTAAAGAAGGCTTTGTATTTCTCGCGTCGTGTGTCCAACCGCGCAGCCGAGGGACTGTGAGTCTCCGAGATACCAGTACCACAGTACCCGTGGTGGTCAACCCTAACTATTTGCACCAAGAATGGGATGTCCAGTGTATAATTAAAGGTATAATGTGTATAGAAGTAAGTTTATTAACATTTTGTTTTGATGGAGGAGGACAGACAAACAGTAGGTTCACTTCTTGGTAGGAGAAATACCCCAGCCATATAACATCTAAACAAGATCCACTGTTGACCTAACTTGGCTTTGGATATTCGGAAATACACAGACTGAATGCGAAATGGGATTAAACTTGACGTCTTTTATGCAGACCCGGTTGGGATTTCAATAGTCCTACCACCCATTTACTATCCAGATTTCTCGCCGAAGTCCGACATGTTTCAGAGAAATTCGAACCCACGACCGTTGGTTATTAATAGCCATACATTACTACTATTACACCAACGAGCTCGTCCAAGTCATTATAAACCACGGCTATGATAAAAGACATTGACACTTTTTAATCAAAAGTCAGATATGAATAACTACTATTAAGTACTGTCTGTAGTTTACGCGAGTAGTACACATGTAAATAAACGGTTTAAAATATGAATAAAACAAAACAGATATACATAGTAGAATCTTTATATGTTTAGTAACTTGTACTATCCCTCTCCTATACAGCTCTACGTCGAGCTGAACGTCTGGTCTCGACAAAGCCGTTCAAGGCTATAGGTGCGAAGATTCACTGGCCCAGAATTGAGAGATGTCTCACTTTCTGGAGATACAGTAGCCAGGATCAGCTTGGCCTGCAGAGAAGACGGAGAAAGTAAGTTATAAATTACGAACTAAAAGTATAATCTCTCTTTTTAAATCGTTTTTTGTTTATCTTATTCGTCTTTTAACGTTTGCATACAGGAGTACAAAAAAATGCATTGTATTAATTGTAAATTTATTTTCTGTAAAAAACACGTCTTATTTTGTAATATAAGCTTAAAAAAAACTTCAACAAAAGCTAAATATCACAGTAATTATGTTTTGTCGATTCTCAAATTTATCGGAACCCTCCACTTCCAGGTCAAAGATTCAAAAGCCACAAACAGAGAAACCTAAACCACGAAGACCTCCAAGTCCACCAGACGAGTACCTAGCATGTGTAACCCGCGAAATCGCTGTCACAGGACACCATGTCGGCGGAACGGCAGCTGGTGGTACCGTCTTGGATAATCAGTTAAGGTAAATACAGTTAAAACTACATATAACGCGACTGACTTATTATAGATTGTATTATTCTTGTCTGATATTGATAAAATCATCTTTTTATTATAAAAATACACATAGGTAACTTAGTACACTTATAAACGGGTAATTAAAGTTTTTTAACTGATGTTTATAAGTGTACCTAGTTAACTACGTGAATGATGAAATGATGTTCGACTTTGAATATTCCTACAGTTATAAAATTAACATACGAGCTAAAACCCAAATAAGGACACAAAGAAGTATGAAATCTTAAACGTGACACCTACCCACTAAATAATTATGAAGTTCCTTTCTTTCGTTAAGTAATATTATTGTATTTGTATCTATATCTTATATTATGTTTCAGAGTGAAAGGAGTAAAAAGTCTTCGAGTAATGGATGCCAGTGTGTTCCCATCGCCTATTTCACTCTTCCCTAATTCTGTTATAATAGGTATGGCGGAGAAAGCTGCTGATATTATAAAGGCCAGTAGTGACGTGTAAATGTTAAATGTTTTTCGCATATTTGAAAGTGTTTTATTTAAAGCAACATTATAACCTTTTAATTATAGACTTCTCAATATATTATTTTAATAATAAGGAAAAAAAATCCATTGCCAATTCAAAAAGGCGGTAAAAAGTTGAGATTTAAAAAAGGTTTTGTTAACTGATTACTAGTTGTCGAACTCACGGATAATTCGACGCGCCACACACAAACAATATTTTACACGTAAATCAGTTGCTGTAAATACACTTATGCACACTGAGTAAGCCATAAATTAATTATTTCGCTCCTTCATTGTACTAATTCGAATAAATATGCCGTCATAAATTATACTCTCGACTAATCGAGAAACAATGGTACGGGACACGACCGTACAAGAAAAAATAAAATCAAATGCATTCACCATTATAACAAGTTAAGCTTCCTGTATATGGACGGTAACTTGTTGAACTCAGTTGTCTGCCCAGTTTAATTTTAATACGACTGGTGCCAAAATGTGTGACACTAAAACCAGAGTAGACGGAAAAACAGTTATTATTACTGGCGGTAGCTCTGGAATTGGATTTGAGGCTGCTAAAAGCCTAGCCTATAGTGGAGCTAAAGTCATCATCGCCAGTCGAAACGAAACAAAACTCATTAGAGCTAGAGATCGGATACAACAAGTGACGAAAAACCCGAACGTTACATACAAACAACTCGATTTAGCATCTTTTAAATCCGTGAGAAGTTTCGCCGACGAAATACAAGCCGAAGAAAGACTAGACGTCTTAATAAACAACGCTGGTGCCATTGGATTATCCGATCGCCTGACCGAAGATGGACTCAATCTAACTATGCAAGTGAACTACTTTGGTGCTTTTTTACTAACATATCTCTTACTACCGTTGTTAAAATCATCAGCGCCTAGTCGTATCATTAATAGTTCAGCATCTTCTATGTACATTGGACATCTGGATTACGAGCACTGGAATGACGTAGGAAGGTATAATTCAGTGGAAGTTTTGGCAAATTCGAAACTCGCTGTTGCTTTATTTTCCGCCGAACTAGACAACATCCTAAAAGATACCGGCATTACTTCCAATACCTTTGATCCGTTTGTCGTTCGCGACACGAATATCTTAGATAACCTAACGGATTTGGGCCGGAATTTGACAAAATTGTTCGTGGACATGGTGGGACAACCCAAAGAGGATGTTGGTGAAGAAATATTATACTTAGCAGCTAGTCCCGAGATGCACAACGTTAGTGGAGTTCATTATAAATTTTGTCGAAAATGGATAAATCATTGGTTAGTGAGTGACCGAGAAGTAACAAGTGAATTATGGTTGGAGACAAAGAAACTTTTGAACATTACTTCAAAAGCAGAGTGGGAGAGCAATTAATCAATACCGTTGTAAATAATACGTCAAATGATTACTGGTCTACCGGTACAAAAAGTGATTCCAAACATACAGTCCTTCCGGTCAACCGGTTAGTTGCAAAACTTTGCTTCGCATTTTGAACATATGTTGCGCCCATTGCCAAAAACCATAATATCCTAGTATTGAGGATTTTTTTACATCATTTGCACAAAATCTTTCTTAAATAAATAATTATACAAATTGCATAGCTTTAACTGCGTAAATGACACGTTACAGCTAACATTAAATATTGACACTATGATGGTAAATAACGCTCTAGGCATATTGACAAACAGCACGTTATTAAATAATTATTTATTGCTGACATGTCAAAGAAAGAAAAACGTCTAACAACATTTGTTTGTACTTCTTGAATCATAGCCACCGCACTATGAAGCCAAGGCTATCTAGTAACTGTGTAATGTTCTTTATAATGACCATGTCTCACGAAAACATGCTCAAATTGTATACTATTGCGTTCCTGCTAAGTTTGAATCCCAGCTCTGTAGGATGGTTCGGGACGATTTTAGCAAATGTGATTCCAATGTTCGTTTAGATGGAAAAGTAGCCCTCGTTGCAGGAGCTACCTCAGGTCTCGGATTCGAAACTGCAAAAAATTTCGCAAGTCGCGGTGCTAAAGTCATAATTGCAAGCAGGAATCCAGAGAAACTTGAAAAGGCACGAATTGACCTGGTGAAATCTTCAAAAAATGAGAACATCTATACGAAACAAGTAAACTTTGAGTCTCTTTCATCGATAAGGAATTTAGTCAGGGAGACATACTTGTCGGAGCCAGCACTAGACATTCTTGTCAATAATGTTGGGACTATTGGATTGGAGGACAAATTGACGGTTGACGGACTACATGTGATGATGCAAGTCAATTATTTTGGTGCGTTTCTTTTGACCTTTCTCCTGTTCCCGTTATTAAAAGCGTCGGCGCCCAGCAGAGTCATTAATGTCTCTTCTTCAGGGCTACTTCTTGGAGACATAAACTTGGAGCACATGAATGACGTAGGTCGATATTTTGACTTCGGTTTCTATTGTAATGCGAAGTTAGCTGTTGTACTATTTTCTATAGAAATGAATAAGCGGGTGAAAGACAGTGGTGTTCAAGTATTCAGCATGGATCCAGGATTAATCAAGACAAAGTTTTTCAGGAATTACGATGACGGCTTTTGGAAGACAGTTTTAAATGGAGCGTTAGCAATATTTGGAAGACCAGCTCATAGGGTCGCAACTTTGCCTGTGTATTTGGCTTCTGATTCGAAGCTAGACAGTTTAAATTCAAGACATTTTAGAGATTGTGTAAGCTTCTATAGCACGTGGTACGCTAACGATACCGTACTTACAAAAAGGTTGTGGAAAAAGTCTAAAGAATTGGTTAAGATAACACCTACAGAAGATTGGGAAAGCTAAAGCTTTTAAGCTTTTTTTTTCTTTTAACTTATTATAAAAACAACAACAAAATATAAAGAGAGACAACATTGGGCTCTATATATAAGAGATGTTTCAATGCTACGTTATACTATATAACATATCAAGGTCTGCATCACTTTGAATGTACAAGGTGAAATGTGAGGGTTATGATCGGCGTAATGTGCAACCTTACATATAATAATTACAATTTTGTGTTTCAAAAGAAGTTGCTAGTATTAAAAAACCTAAACTAAAGCAATTATTAGACCTTGTCCCGCGATACTTTTCAATGTAAGCTATTCTATTAAGTTTTATTTATATTTTTACCTATTCACATCCCTTGCACAAGTTTTCGAGAAATAATATTTTTTTGATTTAACTCATGTACGTTTAATATAACACTTCTTCATGTTTTTTGTATTGTGTGCAGTTAACTGTAAACTGAATTAAATAATAAGGTAATAATTTAAGCTAAATGATAAGACTATAACAACATCTAATAATTGTGCCAAACACGTAAAAATAATTAAAATTTTAGGCGCCTTTAATATTTGTCAAATTATTCGCATTGTGCTAAGCTTTGCTCGCTTATAAATTTAAGGCGTTTTAAAATCAAATGGAACATTGCATTGTCATAAAAATCAAGATATAAGTTTTGCTCAAACATTTCCAAGGTAAATATGTATTACATTATAAATAAAAATATTTTTTATTTTATTAGGTTGAAAAAATAAAAAAGTAAAAAAAAGTGAAAAAATAAAAAAGTTTTAGAATATATTTGTTCGTCTATACCTATCTATTTTTCCACCGTCGTTTACAATTTGGTGATACGTAATTTTAGATGAGACCTGTTCAAAATTTTCGTAATGGTCAGATCATAATGTCAGTCACACTCATCTTACTTCCGTGTGAATTACGCAAATATCCGATTGGAGGCGCAAGTCATAAGATTTATACAATTATTTTATATATGTATGTAAATTGATATCGTTATATACTTACTTACGCCTTCTTTACGTTTCGGTGCTCTTCGATTCTTTCGATGTGGCCGGTCCTGCAGAGTCTTTGAGCTCGAGCTTCCCCCATGATGTCAGAGGCGGCAAACAGCTTTTCGAGCTTCTCATTATTTCACGGCAGCTACCGTCTTCCCTCTGTGTCGCGATCGGTCTTAGAATCTTCAACAGTAGTTTACATTCTGCAATATGTAATAATAATATAATGTTAAAATATTTAATACAACCATAATATAATATAAAAAATAATTAATATAAAATGTATGCATTCAGTAAAAAGACGAGTAATTGTGTCCAAGTTTACGTAAGAATAGTTTTAGTAATTTAAGACTATTAAATTTGATCTTAATTTTACACGTTAATATGAATTATCAGTTCTGGTTTAGACTCCACTGCCGCGTTTAATATATTTCTAAATATTTTTATTTATAATTAAATAAAAAATTATCACGTTAGTTAGCGTTAATGTAGTTAATTTACATTTGTCGCTTTTCGCTCGTGACTTGCTCGGTTGAGCCGGCGATCGCTAAAAGGATTCTGCGGTGAAACGGGAAAGTTTTCCACAAATAAACGACACCGCGCGCATCTCTAATGTTTTCTAAGGAAATATATATTTATCTTTTGCCGATAGCTTTCGCACGGCTTAGCACCTTCAAAAATGCATAACCTAACAAAATATTGCATCTAGTGAGAATTACTGGTATACAAAAAAAAACCAGCCATTTTTATATCTGTTCGATAAGATATTATTGATGATATGTTTTCAATGAATTCATGATAAGTATAATTTTATACTTGTTACTCGTTAATTTGACGTTATACCTAACTTACTCCCTTAAGAAGTACATTAACAATGTATTGGATTGATAAAACAAACATATAAATGTGACTGGGCTCCACGAAGGGGACAGGGAATTTAACACGCCTAAAATGTTACACACATATCGTTGTTGATCTTAATAAATCACAGTGCTATTTCCAGAGTTGTTCATTGTTTTAACACAAATAATCTTTTGCTAAATGAAAAGAAGACTAAATGCCATAAGTTTGTAACAACTAACGTTAAATGCAGTAGAAATGATAGTATAAAAATACAAGATGAGGTAACGAAAATGCTGTTTTTGGGTATAACTCTCGATTGTAAACTCCAGTGTGGACCACCGATTAAAAATCTTTCGAATAAACTAAGCTCTGCAGCCTTTGCTGTAATGTCTTATGGTATCCTTTTGTGGGGCAATGCAGCCGATATTCAAACCATATCTGTTTTGCAGAAACGGGCTATTCGATCGATTTGTGGTCTTTCCCACGAGAGTCTGTTCGATATAAGTTAAAAGCATTGAATATCCTAACGCTGGCAAGTCAATATATCTATGAAAATGATTTTGTATGTGAGGAAAATGTAGATACTTTTAAAACAAACGGCAGCTTTCATCAGTACAAAATAAGTGTACCAAACAAAAGTCTCCATAAAAGTAGTAGTTCTTTTCAAGGCACGATACTTTAATAAAATCCGCAGCGCTCTTAATAAATAAGTTTAAATCGTATGTAAAACAAAAACTGCTTGAAAAGGGTTCTTATCACGTTAAACAATATTTAAATAATAAAAATGCTTGGGGTGTAGAAGAACCCGCTCTTACAAGGAAAAATATGTAGTGCACTAAAAGTAAATCAAGAATGTAAAATAAAACTTGGCGATAAAAGGAGTGACGGTGAGTTTATTGCTAGTTCTTCTCGTTCGTTCTACGTCCTTGATTTGCTGGTAGTAAATGTAAAGTTTTTTATTTTGTGAGTGTGTGTTGTGAGTTTAATTATTTTGTGACGTTCATAAGTGTGCATAGTTACCTACATGAATAAATGATTTTTGACTTTGACTTTGACACAAAAACAAGACTCTTTTACATTTACTAGTTAAAGGAAGTGCGTTGAACGAACAAGAAGAACTGGCAGAAAAATCCCCGCTACTCTTATTATCGCCAAGTTCCATTTTACATTTTTCACATCTACCTACTTAAAATATAATATTAAATTTTACTGGTAAGTTCGGGTTCCTTCAAGTATGATAACATTCTAATATTGATATACGTTATAAGGAGAATAATCAAAGTCGTTTTTCTTTTAGATACGATTTTAACTTATTTATTCTTAGTTTTATTGAAATACCTTATAGGAATCACTAGTTTTATGCAACCACCTAGTTGATATACTGATCCTTATTACGTGTGTTTTATTGATGAATACTACCGTTTGTTTCATGGTATTTCGTAACCAGGTCTTCGATATAAAAATGAAAGTGTTTATCTTCGTCGTTATGCCCTCAAAGCGATGATTGACACTTGACCAAGGCAAGAATGGCGGAATAGAAAAATGTCTAATCAATTTACGTTGCGTACGCGTCGTAATAACATCGCAATTGCCTTTTACTTCCGCATCAAAGGTTATAGAAGACCAAAGTTCACGATTTTCCTTAAAAAATATGAAACATTTAATTATACGACTTAACGGTTTAAAACGCGATTTATATTAGTTACATTTATTTGAAAATTATTTTAACTAAGAGACTGACGCCCCGTGACCACCTGAAACGTCGAGCCGTAGTTAAAATAATTTTCAAATAAGTTTAAATAATATAAATCGCATTTTAAACCGTTAAAGTGTTTTATTTAAATATGTACTACTCGCGTAAATTACAGACAGTATTTAAATATGTAACAATTAACGATACAGAAAACAAAAATGCTTGAGATTTGTCGTGTCATAATATTAAACGGATCATGGATTTGATAACCACCAAGTCCAACACGAGACATAAAGTAAATAGTTCCACATCCACAACATTAGCCTAGCCAGTTAGCCTTCAAATATACATTGGCGTTCGTCTCTCAATCACTTAGGATGGCTTAATTAGCTTGAAAAATAGCTTTGCGGAATGGACTCATAAGTCTTATGAAATTGAAGAAAATTTTCAATTTAGTAATTATTGACATTGAAAAAAAATACTTGTGTTGTAAATATAATTTAACTAGTAATATTAATGCTAGTTTTTTCATTATATAAAAAAGGGCAACGTAAAATGTTCTTACATTTTACTGTGTTGAAATATAAAATATTTAAATTAGTAAATTAATAATGTTAAGACTTGCATAAGTGCAGAAAACTTAAAATTGTTTATTTTGTATACAATCATATATTACATAATTAATTTGAATATTTTTTTATAAACTTATATAAAAAAGGCCATTATACATTCTTAGCAAATTAATGTTACGTCATGAAACGCTTATTAATTTTATTAATGGCTATTTGAGATATAAAAATTAACATAAGATCTCTTGAAGGCAACGAATAATTTTGTAGGTTGTACATACAAGGGGAGAAACATTTTAACAGCTTATAAATCATTATACCAAGTGCCGACTCCATAACTCAATAGTCAAACGCGTTGCCTAGTATTTTATTATGTACAAGAGGTGACAGGTTCGAATACTGGAAAATAATTTTTCGGTAAAGCAGGACACAAATAAAATCGATCAACGAAACGGAAACCAACGACGAATCGGGATGGTACTTTTTACATGAGCGTTTTTCGATGGCAGAATACGTATATTTTGTAAAATATTTTTTTCGTAATGATGCAGTTTAAAATTTTGTGAAGAAAGCTGTATATATTTCTTTCTCCTTTTTAAAATAACGAAAACAAAAGAATAGAGAATACATTTCAACGTGCACCAGCGTAAAAAACAGCGTAGTAGATACTAGGATAATTGCGATACAAATATTTTTTACTCTCCTTATTTCATCAGAACTTTGAATAACTTAAACCATGTTTTTCGATATAGTCACAACACGTGGTGCATAACAAATATAATCAAACGTCTCATTTATTGGTGGAAGTGTAGAGGATATAAACTTATACTCTCGCTTTTGTTAGTACACAAGTCAAGTGTTGAAAGTGGTACAGAAACTGCATAATGCAAGACAAATTTAATC